GCAAGCCAAGACTGCGTCTTCAGATGTGAATTGATTCAGGTATGGTTCTCTTTGTCGGCTACCGATGGCTTTCTAGGGCTGGTTATGCTCAGGGTTAAGGTGGTGCGAATTATGGAGACGAGAGCTGATTATCAGGTGGTGCGAATTATGGAGACGGGAGCTGATTATCTTTGTGTGTGGTTTGAGATTCACTGGGGAGGTATGAGCCTAGCTTAGCACCAACAGCCCGAGATGATTTTTAACTGTTTCTTGTAGGGGCTATCTCGTGTAGCTTTTGTTGTTGGAATGATCAAGTTGATATGTGGAGTCTGTAACTCTGTATACCGGATTCTTAGAGACCATAGAGTTAATAGGATTTAATTGGTTTTATGATTGATTTTATCAGCGGTTGATGGTTTGAAAATGTTTTTATAAGGTAGAAACATAAATTGTAAAGAACATTTCTAGGTCCCAATATACCCAATGCCAGATCGCTGCCAAGAAAGGGGCAGGTAGGTTATTGAAGTGATTGATAGGATCGTTTCTGTGAAGGTACTCATTGCCATGGAATTACGATTCGAGCAGCCGCCGGCCAGTTCCTCGAATCGTGAGGGGGAGAGGAGGATGAGCGGGAGCCTCAATTTCCTCCAACCCTAAGCTGTGGGGTGGCTGGAGATGTGCACGGGATGGAAAGTTTGGGCTTTAGTGGGCCAAACCGGCATCCAAGTTAATTGTTGCGCCCCGATTACTTGGTCTGACAGCCGATAAATCGGTCTGATAGGCCAACTGCCTGAGTGAAAAACGCAGCGAATAGGAAGTTTTCGAACCGGCACCCTCAGAGTACCTATTAACTGGCCGATTAACTTCAAAGCCGGCCGATATTTGGAAGAGTAGTCTCCTGTAAAAAGAATTCTGTAGTTCCATGCATGTGGTCTAAGCTAGGCTCCACTTGTTGCGGTGATACAATGAACTCTTGATTCGTCCCTGGTAGCATTTCCTGTGAAAGCCTGGAATCTGTAAATGGACTGAATTCGGCATTCCTTGCAGTACGTGATTTACGATGCCAGACATTTCTTCTATTACTTGGATTTCAGCTTTATCTCTAGGGTGCTCCAGCAGTCTTTTCTGTTATGCAGAAACCAGAATCTTGGAATGGTGGCTGATGCGCAGAGCTCAGATTCAATGGCTGGCAGGTCAAGTTATGCTGCCGAAAAGCACGTTGACAGGTTGGTCTTTAGTTACTTGTCTTCTTCGATACATTTTCATTTGCTTAGCTACAGGAGTTACCTAGCGTTATAGTTGTAATACATTTTGCTTTGTTGCTTTGGCCAATTAGCCTAGGATGCGCATGATCAAATTTCTTTTATGCTAGATTTTTTCTGTTTTCTAATTGATGAGATGGTGGGGCAGACACATGAATGAACCTGGATGCACTTACCGCAATATTTTTTCGTTATTCACTTGTCATCTTGGGTTGTTGTCCAAGAATAATTCTAAACTCCACCTAACAAGCATAATCTCCTCGTTATATCCATTTGACCAAACCAGCATCAATAACAATAATCTTAGCGAGCATCTTTCCTCATAGGTTTTTTTATAAATAAGTATTTTATAGTTTTTAAGTTGTGACTTAAACTTGCCTTAATTGTGACCAGTCCCCTAGTTCACCTCTTCATGTATTGTATTCTTTTGCTACCATAAATCTGCATGCTGAGTAGTTTTAATGTCAGATTTAGTTGTTTGCTAGCCCTGTAAAAGACTGCAAGTACTTATTACTGCTACCTGATGGCCGAGGAGCTCATCTGCTCCAATAGACTGCTATTTCACCTGATTATTTTCAGTCTTTTGCATTTGCATCCATGTCGGTGCTTCCAGTTATTTTGGATTCTGTTCTCCGAATTGACTCAGGCTTTGCTTTAAAAGAAAAAGATGTCATCATTTAAAAAGCATGAATGGAGTCATCCAAGAGATTAACGTTTCCTATACATGCGAACATAAACCAGAAGAAGACTCCTAGAATTGAAGATTATTTAGGACACAAGATTCTGCAGTTCGACGCCTGCTCTTTTATCTTGTGATCGGCCGTATGGATGCTGGGAGCAGTACTTACCATATAGACTTGCAGTTAGGCAGTCATTTTCAATGACTTAAGTTGATCATATCTGTAAAATTTGCACCTTCATATTATTCTAAACCTAGGCGTGGTCCATTATTTCACTTCTTAATTTCCTCTAATACTCCACCTCTCCTTTGGTATACACTTTTCTCTTATTCTGATGATTTGTGTGCTGCAGGTGTCTTGACAAAAGAGCCCAGGAAAAGGCTCCAAAGAAAAATCATAAAGCTGAACGAGAGAAACTTAAACGTGACCAGTTGAATGACCTTTTTGTTGAGCTCAGCAGTATGCTAGGTTAGTACGATGCGTCATTAATCAATGACCATTTTTAGCTGATTTAATCTTCCCTTTTGGGAAAAATACCAGTTAAGTTATTGGACATGGATTACATCATTCTGTTCCCTCAACTTGGACTCATATGCCTCTTTAATTACTTAATGACAACTGGGAACCAATACACTCATCTCATTATTAGGTTATATGTTTGGTAGTGTTCATGTGTATCTGATGTGCAGTACGTGTTCACAATTCATAGTATTGATGCCACGACGGGAAGAGCATATGTTGATTCCTGTATTCAATTGTCTGCTATTGCTGTTGCTGTTGCTGTTGCATCTTGCTGTTTTTATTTTGGGTGAAACTCATCTCATTGTTCAGTACTCCATCCGTTCACAAATATAAGATGTTTTGGATATTTCAATATGGACTACATAAGGACTCAAAGGAGTGAACAAACACACTAAAATGCATCTTTATGCATCCGAATTAGAAAAAAGTGAGAACATCTTATAATAATGAATGGAGGGAGTATTTTATATATCCTGGCAATCCTTTCTAGGATTCTAAAAGTCTACATGTGCCCCATTTTGTAAAAATTGCTAAATATTCCCATGTGAAAGGCTGGCTTCCTGCTTTCTTCCAAGCTCACTTTTGAGTGGTCCACCACATGTTGTCCCAAGAACAAAGTTCTGAAGGGGAAAGTTGTCATCAGCTTGTTCGTTAGCCCATATAGAAGGTTGCTATTAGATATTATGAAAATACCTGAAATCATTATTTGTATTTCCCTTTTTTTGTTCACCGCATTATTGCACACGCTGAATAAATCATGCCAAGATGGATAACCTTTTGTATGTAATTATCCTTTGGCGTCAATCATCCAAAAGTATTGCCATGGGACTGTAGAGTTCTGCATGCTTATTGTTATTGCTTGTAGAGGTCATTGTACTCAATGTTACTTTTTCTGATAAACATAGTCCTGCTATTACAGATCATGATCGACAAAATAGGGGAAAAGCTACAGTATTGGGTGATGCTGCACGAGTACTGCGAGATTTAACTACTCAAGTTGAATCTCTTAGAAAGGAGCAATCTACTCTTCTAACTGAGCGCCAATATGTGAGTTCTGAAATATTAAGTGCTTATATACTTGCCTTCCAGAAACTGTGCATATACTTGTGCTCAAAATTTAAACATTTTCCATGTTCCATAGATTATTGTGTTTTTGAACAACAGGGACAATTTATAGATCTAACTACAAAGGGGGGCAAAAGGGTTCAATGAAGATCTTCCAAACACAAACATGCCTTAGATGATAACTGTTTTCCTTCTTCACTATAAGGATGAACGTCTAGCTAGCGTGCATTTATCTTCTAAAGTTCATGAAGTATCTGTTGTACTTGTAAGCAATGCCTTTACTTGAATTAACTCACATATAAATAAATTCCCATTAACGTCTCTCCTTTCCAGCTTGTGGTTGCTGCCTGCGTAATTTATCAAATGATATAGTTGTTTCAGGTTATTTGCTTCATTACCTTCAAGGTTAAGCCCAAGTTACACTTATTAACAGGTCGGTTCAGAGAAGACCGAGCTGCAAGATGAGAATACTACACTCAGAGCCCAGGTAATAGAACTACAGAACGAGCTTTGTGCAAGGATCGGAAACAGTAGCCTGAATCTAAGCAGCCTTGTGGTGTCACATCCAATAGGGAGCAGCTGCACTACTAATTTAGCAACCCACCCAACGCCGCATGATACATGGAGCAATGTTTCTAATTTAAGCACCATGAGCATGGTGGCCCCAACCAACACACCATCTCCACTGCAGAATCAGCAGCATCACTCTGTTGCTTCTGGTCAGGTTGCATTACGGCCTCAGGAGCTCCAGCTCTTCCCGGGGACATCAGCATCATCGGACCGAGAATGTTCCCGGCATAGAAGCAACCCAGCTACTTCGAGCCTTGCGGATTCCTTGCCTGGACAGCTTCGCCTCAGCCTTCCACCAACATCCCAAGAAGAAAGCAGCGGGGGCGGTGGCGCACCGGGAAATAGAAAAGAACGAAAAACCAGTTAGCCAGTTGACGGGTTACAACAAATCAGTTCTTGGTGATAACAGCTCTCTTGTAAATACCAACAAGCTACTCACCTTACTGGTCCAAACCTACTAGTTGCTCTATATGTTTAAAATAACTTTACAATTCTGTTTTGATACAATTTTGCAGCAGGCTAATCAGATTTGTAATCTAGAACTCACTAGTCTGTGACATGTTTTCGTCAAGGTTTTCAACTGTAATAAGAACAAACACAACTGGACTGGGCAAGTGCGCCCCGGCGACACCGCCAGGCGTGTCCTCGGACAGTGTCGAACGACACCTCATTTGTCCTCTTGGACAACCACACCCTTCATATCCAAACCCTAAAATACATCGTGTAGAACAAATTCATCGCCAATTCAACAATGCAACCAAGCAAAATAAACCACAATTCAACACATGCCAAAAGAAAGTACGACAATTCATAGGTAGGCAATACAAGAATAGTCCACGTTGATGTGGACCACCTCCTTGTCCGCAGTTTCCCGCTCACGCTGCTTCCTTCGCCCCCTTGTCCGCAGCTTCCTGCTCACGTTGCTTCGTTCGCCCCTTCCTCAGACGACATTCTTCGCCTTGCAACTAACCCTACGGATGGGAGCCCCACAGACTCCATCAAGGCATCATGCATGCTGGCGGTGGGGGACAGGGTACTCGGAGATGTTATCTACGAGGGCAGCGGCACGAACAGGACCAAGGGCGGAGGTTAGTGAAGGCTCAACGGTAGGAAATGGAGGACGGACACGGGAAGAGGGCATTCAATTTGGTGGACTAGGTACCACGTGACATATGTGGTGAGCAATTCAAACTAGTCCATTTTTTTTGGTGGACTAGGTCAGTTTCGAGGGATTTTGGGTGTGGCCGGTTTGTCGGATCTGATATGACAGACGCGTCCGGGCCTCCCCATATCAGCTCCAGACATGGACTGGGTTTGAAAGGTGCCGGACAACCGGATGTATAGTGCCGGTTTGAGGTGTGCAGTTGGGTCGCATTTTCGTGATGGTTCACTAAACCTGGTTGTCCATCCGGACGTTTGCGGACGATACGAAGGTCTGGTTGCAGATGCTCTAAGATGCTCTAAGTGCACAATATTAGAGATAGAATTGTTTAGTTGATGCAACTTTGAAGTTATGATGCCTGCTATCATGCCAGTTTCCAGAAACTGTTTCTGTCGATAGCTGCACTCCCCAGGCGTTGTTATTCAAGATTTGAGTAATTCTATACACAAATTGTTATACGACAATAATATATACTAGTTGGAATGGGAACAATGGTGGTGAAAACGACCATGAGAATGCGAATTCTGAGTGCCATAACAACATTCTTGAATCTGTGACGGGCAGAAAATGGTACGTAGATCTTTGTGTCGAATATTTCCTACCATCTCATCTCGAAAAAATGGAAAAGAAGTGTTCATCCTACACGACGTAATCAAAAAGGAATACACGTGCTGATCTCACTGCTACACTCGAGAGAAACTCACAAGAAGTTGAAATAAACACACGCTGATCTCCTGAGTTGCAGCTCAGCTCATCTCACTCACCATTATATTTCACACCTCAGAAGAAGTTGCCTTCTTCTCTTGGGAGCTCTTGTCGCTGTCGGCGGTCCAGTAGCGCTTGACGGCGTAGAGCACCTTCTCTCGGATGTGCGGGCTGTCCTCGTGGTTCGCCATCATCGTCTTCCACCGCATCCCCGTCGCCACCTTGTCCACCCGTAGCAGGACGTCGATGTCATCCCGGAGGATCACCGTGCCCTCAGGGCGCAAAATCCGGTCCATCTCCAGCAGGATGTCCTCCATCTTGCACCTGATCCACCCACCCACCCACCCATCAGCTAGCTTGTCAGGGATGTACGTACATTACAATTGCCAGCAGTTAAGATTTCTTTGAGTGGCTCACTCACTTGTCCCTGTAGAGGCTGAATACTCCATTGGCATGGATGAGGTCATAGGTTCTTGGGTAGGTAGAGAATGCTTCACACCTGAAGAAGAAGAAGAAGATGAAGAAGACAAATCAACAACCTCTCTTCGCATCATTATGTTCATGCATCGATTGATGCAGAGGCCGGGGTCATCCTCCTTCTCAAAAATTAAAATAAAATAATAAATCTTGTAAACCAAGGCAAGCAAAACTAGCTTACCAGTCATGGTAGATGCCGATGAGACCCCTCTCATAGATGACGCCGAGGGTGGAGAGCTCGGCGGTGGTGGGCACCACGTTCATCACCCAGGACATGGGGGAGAAGATCGCCGCCGCAAAGCCGCCCACGCCGGCGTTCATGTCCATGATGTTCCGGTACCGCTTGGTGTCGAGCTTGTAGTTGACCTTCCTGTATGCCTTCACATGCCTCTCCCACCGTCGCTTCTCCTCCTCGTACGACTCCGCGGTGAAGCCCTGGACGGCGCCGGAACTTATCCGCGGCGGGACGGCCTTCAGCCGTTCCGGGAACGGCTGCAGTTCTCCTCCGGCGGCAGTGGTGGACGGCGTGATGCACGTCTCCATGTTCTTGTACCTGTTGTGCAGGCCCAACTCAACATCTTTCAGTTCCGTCCGTGTACCGCGGGAAACGACGTGACGTTTTGAAGCCATTAATTTGACTCAAAGTCTGACGGCCAATCTTGATCGATATTGATCTCACCAGACGTCGTCGGGATTGGCCGGGTCGCAGGCCCGGACCTCCGGCGGCATGGCCGGGCACGCTGCCGTGTCCGTCCGCTTCCGCCACACGCCAATCTCGTCCATCTCGGTGACCTTCTCCCAGCAGAGCATCTGCGCGTACTCCTCAATCCTCTTCTGCTCGCCGGCCAGGTCCTCCTCCGCGCGCTCCCACTTCCTGTGATTCGCCTTCCAGTTGATCGGCGGGCCGGAGAGCACCCAATACCCGCCCGGCCGGAGCACCCGGTCCACCTCCATCATGTACATCCCCCCTGCATCAAATCTTCCTTCCTTTTATATATATACCAAATCATGACAATGGCAATGACATGCGTGTCGATCGCGTCGAGTGCTAGCTCACCGTTGCCGGACCACGGGATGAGGCACCGGGAGCAGTGCGCCATGTCAAAGGATCTTGGAGGGAATGGGAGCTTGACGGAGCCGAGGACGCCGATGAAGGCCGGCACGCCGCGCTCCAGCGCGAACTGCACCTGCGCCTCGTGCGAGTCGCGCGGTGCGAACGACATGGCCATCACGCCACGGGAGTCCAGGTACGCGCCGAGACTCGCCACCTGCACCCACATGGACGTAAACGAGATCAATGAATGATAGTGCGCGAATGGACCATGTATCAGAAGAAAACGTGATTAATGGCTTACGCCGCAGCCGGTGTCGAGGACGGTGCGGACGGAGCCGTCGGCGAAGGGGACGATGGAGGCGAGCTGGTCGATGTACTTGTCGGCGCCGTGGGGGAACTGGGTGCCGCCGCCGGGAAAACGGAATACGGCGCCCTCGTACTGGACCCAGTTCTGGACGGCCTTCTCAACGGTGAGGCTCTTGTACGGCGCGTTGGCGTAAGGGACGTAGTCGCGGCTCTTGGGCCACGGGAACGGCGTCACGTACCCAGGCGGCGCCGGCACGAGGCACCGCAGCCGCTCGCCGTCCGACGGGCAGTGCCGCTCCCGATACACCATGTTCTTGCGCGGGAATTTCATGGCGCGATCCTGGTCGTGGCACGGAGTGTGGTCCGCGAGCGCTGCCGTGCACGGTGGCGGCGGCTCGCCGCCAAGGCCGGACGTCGTCGCGTTGGCCAGGCCGCCGGTGTGGTGCGTCTCGAAGCTGAGCCCCGCGGCAGAGGCGCCCGAGCAGGCCGTCTGCCGGGTCACCGCCACCGCGATGCGGTCACCCTTGCCGTAGCCGCTGCGCTGCCACGCGCCGAGCACGTAGAAGAAGCAGCACAGCAGGACGGCGATCACCATGCCCAGCGGGCTCCGCGCCTTGTACTCGCCAGAGTTGCCCTTGATGGCCATGGATGGATGGATCGATCAAGGCCTACAACAGAACAAGAACAAATGCATCAACGAAAGGAACAAGAATTGAACACACAAGAATAATTAATGATTAATTTGTTAATGCCATGCATGGACCTTGATCACGGTATGATCAGACCGAAGTGGATTGATCAATACGGCTTGATGAATTAGGACACCGCTGTTGCATCTGATCGATCTCTGTTGAGGAAAACGCGCGCGGGAGAAGAGGAGAATCGGTACATAGGTACCGGCTGTGGTTACCGTGTGTTTGTTGAGAAGGCTCAACAAGAAGGGAGGAAGAAGCGGATCTTGGAATCTGGGTATGGAGTATGGAGATACGAGATGACAACACCTTATTTCTGCCGTAGCAGATCAGGTGAAAGTGATGCCCTAAAATACATTACAACTGCGCTTTTGCATTATTTGTTCCAGCTGCGTTTTTGACACAAAGTGATGTGTCTTGTTGTCCTGTGTGGTTCCCGATGCCAAAAAAATTGTGGCCGTTGCGCAGCACTTGTTGTATATTTGCAGCACTTGGGACAAAAATTTGGGCTGCCCTAATTCTTTTTGCAGCACTACATGCAGATACATCAACTGCTGGAGCACATTTTTGGTCAATGCCCCCCCTATTATCCATTACATTATGGGATGGAGATAGAGAAATCTAGGAGCATGCAGCTTAAGGTAAAGTTCCTCGCAGAAATAAAAAACTTAAGGCAAAGTTAAACAAATATTGGACTCAACTATATACCAGCGCCACATATCTATGGGGGCTCAATTCTCTTCTATCCACAATGCATCCATGAGATGACATAAGTAAGATTCCTTTAAATGCTTTAAAATTATAATAAAACTACCTCTCAAATCAGATTGATGATCCGCTTTCACCATTCGGTTTGTTGCGGTGGGATCTTCAAAACTAGATCATGTGTTAACATGTTTTTGTCAACTTTTTATTTCATTTGTACTTGACAGATTGTGTGCACCTACTTGCCAGGTAATAAACCACTTGATAGCCAGTAAAACTAACTTAGTTGTCAGATTACCGAATATCAATCTATTTATTTAGGATAGTAAAACCGAGCCTAACCCCAGCCCTCCCAGGACCTCCACGTTTCTGGCCATCCATTTTTGTGACTGGGACATTTTAGGTCGTCATATCTGCTATTCTAAAGGGATGCTACTCCAAAGGAAAAAAAAATCTGAGGTCTTTTGCTAACTTGGCCTTTTCTTCTAGCCCAGTTGGCTAGAAAGGCCGGGCTCTGTTGGTTGCTGCGAGAGAGATGGGGTCCTTTGGCCGCTGCGAGACCAATCTACGCGAGGGGCGACGGGGATTCGTCCGCTGC